TAACTCCGTTAAATGTCATAAATTCCGTTTTCATGGATGCCTGGATGTTAAACTCAATTGTTACACCTGGTAGAGCAGAACGCTGATCATTTTATTAGAGATGAAAGACTTTAGACAGTTTTTCAACCCTCAGTAATGCCATAGTGATCGTTTAAATATATGGACCTGCAGCGGAGTTTAGGGCCAGACACGGCTAGTGACGTCAGACTTAATGACCAGATAGCAGGGGTGCGCAACTCCAGGCCTCGAGGGCACTGCCATACCATGATCGGATATGGGTCGAATAGGGTAAAAAAAAAAATCGTATTTCATGCGCTTTCACCTGCAGTGTGAACGTAGCCTTAGATGTGTCCTTGATCCAACACAGCTGATTCAAATGGCTATATTACCTCCTCAACATGTCTTGAAGTTCTCCAGAGGCCTGGTAATGAACTAATCATTTGATTCAGGTGTGCTGACCCAGGGTGATATATAAAACCTGCAGGACACTGGCCCTTGAGGCCTGGAGTTGCCAACCACTGTTCTATAGCGTCTCTGACATGGCTGTCAGAGATGGCTGTGTCCCAATTAAGAGACCGCACGTTTGAAGTACGCATTTTGAGTGCGATTACGTCACCACCACGCGACGACGGCTCTCCCAATTCGAAGTGTTGCATAGCACAGCAGCTCCGACCCCTCGCAGAACTCCTCCAGCCCTTGTTGGTTCCTAATGAACTATTCTCACATATAACTCTTGTTACTGTCCATTCCATTGTAAAAAGTCGTTCACACCATCATAGATGGGTTCTGTAGGTCAGGCCACATAATTAACCAAGGAAAAAAATTTCCAATGCCTCTGAAGCAGTAGAAAAAGCAGCGGTAGTACAGGTGTTTTGTCTCCATGGTCTTCAAAATAATATAGTCTATGTCAAAGGACTCTTTTTCTGATGCGCTCTGCTCAGCTTTAGGAGCTGAAGTAAACCTTGACTCAGGCTTCCATCCGTAATCTAATGATCAAACAGGTTTAACCAGGAGCTTGAAGCTGCTCTAACTAACCCCTCTTTCTGGAGTTCCCAGTTGTCTTGGGTGGAATACCTCCATAATAACATGACTTCAGCTGCCACTCGACTAGGTACTATGTAAAATAATCCATTTGTCATATTACAGTTTGCCCTAACTCAGAAAATAAACATTGCTAAGTGTGGCCTCTGCCTACAGTTATTTCCTATTCAAATTCCACTGGACTGTCAAAATCACTGTTATAGTGTTTGGTGAGTGGCCGTTTCAAAAATGAATTAATGTTAATAGTGTTAAGTCAAGGTACTGTATGTGGCAGCTGAAACGTAAGAGTTTCCATATATGAGCAGCAGATGGCAGCATTAATTTACAGACAGACTTGTGTAAACTACTGCTGTATGTGCACCTCGGCTGCCACAATGTCTGCGTTATGCTGTGTAATGTCAATGAAGAAATGAGCAGGTCCTCTAACCTACACACAAGGTGTCTGCTGTTAAAACAAATCTCGTCAAGTTTCAGAAATGCAGAGACATACATAAAAACCATTAAAAAACAAAAGTGGGTAAGAAAAACTCTTTTAACAGGAAGAAAAGAAACCTCCAGCAGGACCAGGCTCAGGGAGGGGCAGCCATCTACCAACACCGGTTGGGGGTTGGGGGAGGAAGGATAAAAGACATGCTGTGAAAGAGAGCCAGAGATTAATAATAATAATAAAAGCAGAGAGCTGTATTAGGACATAGTGAGTGAGAAAGGCGACTGAAGAAAAAACACCCAAGGCATCATGGGAATCCCCCGGCAGCCTACACCTATTGCAGCATAACTAAGGGAGGATTCAGGGTCACCTGGTCCAGCCCTAACTATATGCTTTAGCAAAAAGGAAAGTTTTAAGCCTAATCTTGAAAGTAGAGATAGTGTCTGTCTCCTGAATCCAAACTGGAAGCTGGTTCCACAGAAGAGGGGCCTGAAAACTGAAGGCTCTGCCTCCCATTCTACTTTTAAATACTCTAGGAACAACAAGTAGGCCTGCAGAGCGAGAGCGAAGTGCTCTAATAGGATGATATGGTACTACAAGGTCATTAAGATAAGATGGGGCCTGATTATTTAAGACCTTGAATTAGTGTGTGAACAAGACTCTCCATTTACATGAACAAATTGTAGTCTGTTAGATAGATATGATACAAACCACTGCAGCGCAGTACCTGTAATGCCTACAGCATGCTCTGATCGCTCTTATAGGATATTATGGTCGACAGTATCGAATGCTGCACTGAGGTCTAGCAGGACAAGCACAGAGATGAGTCCACTGTCAGAGGCCATAAGAAAAATAAGCTGTTTCTGTGCTGTGATGGGCTCTGAAACCTGAGTATGATGATTCATATATGTATATTAAATGCAATGTGTTTCAGTCATGTGCATTAAGCTGTATTAACTGAATCAGACATGTCTTGAAAGACAAAACACATGAATAGATAAATATGATAAAATCCCACCAACACATTACTTCAAGTACTCACATCATTAAGCAGTTTCTGTGATAATAATGCAGATTTACAGGTGTGCACTCAAAGAGAAAACACATTAAATAATTCTCTGACTTATATCTGTGCAAACAGAATATTACTATATGTAAATTAAGCTGATAAATAACTCAGAGGGTTTCTTCTTCTCTTCTTTTTTTTTTCCAAGCGGTAACTCCAGCTATTGTTTTGTTTTCATAAGCCATTTTAGGCTTTAAGCTGTCATGACTAATCTACTTCCTGATTCTCTCTGGCTGAGCTATAGAACGAGAGAGGATCGGAGGTGAGTTGAGGTGGTCTGTGTGTCTCAGCTCCCTAAGCCTTTTAGAGCCACTGCTGCTTCTCGGAAACGCACACTGATCTTTTTATCTTTTTACAAAGGCAGGTTTGGGACGCACAATCAAAGACAAAGCACTGCTGTGTCAAACGCCTGGTGGTAGCTGGGAGACTCCCTGGTGCTTTGAGAGGCCATCCCATTACCAAAAAACCGATTAAAAGTTCCCTGCTCTCAAAGGCTGAGGTGTCCTGCCAAAGGGGCCTTAAAGCAGGAGGCTGAAGCTCTGCTCAGAGAGCACTTCTCTCAGGACAAGTGCAGCAGCTAAACGTGCTCACCTACAGGATTTACACATTACATCAATGTAAGCTCACAGTTTATATTCACAGAATGTGACGATCTTAACAACCACGAATTCAGGTTTAATGTCCTGTATTAGTTACTTCAGTGAACTAAATCCACACTGCAGGTAAAAGTGCAGCACGTCTGATGTTTTGTGATTAGTGTGAATGGTGACAGCTGACAAAACAAAGAACAAAACAAGCTGTTAATACGATCGAATTGTAACAGAGAAGTGCCCGTTTTGAGAAAGTGTGAGTGAGGTTGTGTTTTTTTTCCAGCTACAATTTACAGATTTCCTCTAGACATGCTACACAAAGGAAGTCTTTCAGCTACTGCTGAGAAAAGAAGACTAGCTTAAAAGATACATACGCTAAATACGTGTGCGTGTGTGTGTGTGCGTGTGTGTGCGTGCGTGTGTGTGTGCGTGTGTGTGTGTG